ATATTAGTCTATAGATCCTTTCGTTTTCGGGTCGAGGGGACCTTCTCCTCTTCCAGACTCATCAGGAAAGCTGTGGGGAACCTCTGCCCTCGCTAACGAGTCTATTTGGATAAAGCGGTAAAGGTCGCAGGGACAACAGCATACACTTTCAGAAAAAAATTGGTTTTGTTTTTGTTAAATATAAATGAGTCAACAACAAACACGTGAATGGTCACGGAAAGATACTGTTAAATTAATAGGGTTTTATAACTGCAACCCTTGTTTATTCGACAATCAGCATGATGATAATAAAAATAGAATTAAAGAAAACTACACTTCATAACTTCACACAAGAATTCTATACATTTCTTTTTTATTATAATAAAGTGTTCCGAAAACTGTATAATTTAAGAAGTCAATGGCAGAGTGAGTTCAAAAAATTAAATATCGAGAAAAGTGTAAGTGACCAAGTTGATTTTTTTTATTTTTTTTTATAGGAGAGGGGGCAAACGAGCATGCGGCTCACCTGATGGTAAGTGACTACCGCCGCCCATGAACAACTGCAACACCAGGGGAATCGCAGATGCGTTGCCGGCCTTTTAAAAAGGAGTACGCTCTTTTCTTGAAGGTCCCTAAGTCGTATCGGTCCGGAAAAATCGCTATATACAAATCAAGCTGGAGTTATTTCAATGTTCTTAAGTTTTTAAACGTTGGCAGCGCAACCAGTACTGATGCATTGGTAAGCATATTTTGGAAATTCGAAAAGTGCACGCCTCATGAGTGTTTCATTTAATTTTGATGAAAAAAATAAATTGTATTCCTAACTTTTAAAATATATTATTTACGTGTTTTAAATTTCGTGCTCTACTATTTTAACAGGTAGTGTCACCTACAGGAAAATAATTAATAATATTTACCAAAATAAATCAATTAGATAAAGTTGGTATGGTACATTTGTTCTTTATCTATCAAGGCCAAAGTTATGAAAGTTAAAAATTATTTTATTAACTTAACTACGCGTACTTTGTTAATAAAGTTTCTGCAGCTAATAAAAAAACCCGGTCTCGATACGTCAATTTTTTCGGGAGTTATCGTGACTATAATACAAAATCAACATCGGAACGTCCACGTAATTTTTTTAAACCTTTTTTTTACAAAGTATAAAATGATTTTTTAGAAAACATATAATGGATTAATTAGAGTGTTTTCTTGTTATACGGCTAAACATAATATCAATTAAGTGTAATATGGTTATGATAGAGGCATTTGTAGAACACAAAATTGCTTGACCTTGACGTGTCGAGAGTATGAGGCGTGCATTATGATGTATACGTACGGTTAGGTATTTATTTTATGTTACATTATTAAACTGTTGACTAGGTAAGTAATTATTTATTTATTAAATAGACATTACAATTTAATATTACATTACAATAATTAATGTAATGTATTATTATAGTTTTTCGTTTTATCCATCCAACGATCCAATGCAGTGGGGAAAGTTCCATTTGTTATTGTAAATCTCAGCTATCTACAATCATTCTCATTGAATAGATAGAACCTGAAACAATTTATCTTATTACAGGATAATTCTTCGGCTAGCAGTAGTGGTAACCAACTAAATTTCAATAGAAACAAAACAAACAAGTTATTTTTATAGGGGCAAACGAGCATGCGGTTCACCTGATGGTAAGTGACTACCACCGCCCATGAACAACCGCAACACCAGGGGAATTGCAGATGCGTTGCAGGCCTTTTAAAAAGGAGTAGGCTTTTTTCTTAAAAGTCCCTAAGTCGTATCAGTTCGGAATAATCGCTGGTGGTAATCGATTCCACAAGGAAGTTGTGCGAGGAAGAAAATATCTTCTAAATCGCATAGTGGTGGACTGCCAAACATCCAGGTGGTATGGATGGTATCGCAAGTTTTGTCGCGATGTGCGATGGTGAAATTGAGCGGCTTGAATTAGTCCGAACAATTCATCAGAGCACTCCCCGTGGTAAATGCGATAAAATACGCAAAGATATGCAACATCTCTACGCAGTGCCAGTGTATCGAGCCGATCAGAAAAAACTCGATCGTTGACGATTCGAACCGCTCTGCGCTGGATGCGGTCAAGTGGAAAGAGCTGGCACTATGGTGCCTTGAAACTGAGGAGATACAACAAAGGGGTTATTTTTAGCGATAAACGCCCAAATTTGTGTCTTCTGGGGATTGAACTGGACTAGATTTAGTCGCCCCCAATCCGAGACTTTGTTCAGTAAAGACTTCAGACACAATTTTGTCCCAGTACTCTGCGACATTTTTCCGAAAAAGATTGCCACGGCTGGTATATAAGGCTTTACCATTGCTGTCGTCCGCATAGCAATGAATGTTACTAGTTTGCAACATATCATTAATATACAGGAGAAACAGTGTAGGCGATAGCACGCAGCCTTGTGGAAAACCATCGTTGATAGGCTTGAAATCAGAGCATACACCTTCTACTACGATCTTGATGCTCCGATCAGCAAGGAAACTGGTGATCCATTTTCACAAATTCTCGGGAAGCCCATAGGAAGGAAGCTTCGTAAGAAGCGCTTTGTGCCAGATCCGATCGAAGGCCTTCGCTATGTCCAAACTAACGGCCAATGCCTCCCCCTTGGACTCTACTGCCTCCGCCCATCTATGAGTCAGCTAGACCAGAAGATCACCAGCTGATGGACCCCGACGAAAACCGTACTGGCGGTCACTAATCAGCTGGTGATCCTCAAGGTACCTCATGAACTGGCATTTATAATGTGTCACTCTAATATATATCTATAATATGTACCAGTGTCAGATCCTTTCACTTGACCGCATCCAGCGCAGAGCAGTTCGAATCGTCGACGATCGAGTTCTTTCTGATCGGCTCAATACACTAGCACTGCGTAGAGATGTTGCATCTCTTTGCGTATTTTATCGCATTTACCACGTGGAGTGCTCTGAGGAATTGTTCGAACTAATTCCAACCGCTCAATTTCACCATCGCGACAAAACTTGCGATACCATCCATACCAGCTGGATGATTGGCGGTCCATCACTATGCGATTTAGAAGATGTTTTCTTCCTCGCACAACTTCCTTGTGGAATCGATTACCACCAGCGATTTTTCCGGATCGATACATCTTAGGGACTTTCAAGAAAAGAGCCTACTTCTTTTTAAAAGGCTGCCAACGCATCTGCAATTCCCCTGGTGTTGCGGTTGTTCATGGGCGGCGGTAGTCACTTACCATCAGGTGAGCCGCATGCTCGTTTGCCCCCTCTCCTATAAAAGAAAGGGGCAAATAGTGACAGCATTGCTCTTCCCACATTAGCGAATATCCAAATGAGTGAGAACGAGTGTAAATAAAAGCACGAGGTTCCTAAAAAGCTTGCAACCCAGTTGTTAATTACGAAAAAATTGATTTAGTTCCTCTATTAATTACGAAGTTATAAAAAATATTTTTGTGTTACTTACTTTTAAATATTCCTCATGTTAAGTGTCATACAAAACGTTGCATACTTCAGCGATAATTTTTTTATTCTAGATACAGTAATTCTAAATATATACATCAATGAGACCTGTGAAAAAGCCAACAGTAATATTCACCACAGAATCAACCTGTCACATGCACTGCAGATATCGACAATAATACATTACATTAATGTATATTAAACCAGATTCTAATAATCGCAGCGCTAACACGAGTTTTTTTTTAGGTGATATCGAATCTTGGAAATTAGTGTTTTGTTTTTGTATAACATAATCCACTTTTCTTAACAAACTTCTAAATCTACTCCGATCATACGAATGAAGTTGAAATATTGTTGAGCATCTTCCCTCTTTACGTCTTCGTAAAATCACTTCTCGAACCCACTTTAACTGTTTTTTCTTTTAAAGCAACAAAATTTCAATTGAATCTGCCAAAAGTGCACTTCTTTTCGGCATGATTCCACGGTAAAAACTAAATTGCCATAACCTTCGCGACATCTATAGCTCTCGTGTAAAAATTCCTCTGCGATAAGTTGCAATAGTATGATTCGCGGGTTTCTCACTAGATATATATCGCAAAAAAAATTGCAAGAATTTGTACGATATGTAAACAGTATTGCAAGAAGCTTGTGAAAGATTTCTGCGAATGTTGTTGCAGGTGAAAACGCGGACTTACGCCGCCTCTATACGAGTCACGTCACTATTTTTACCATAAAAATACAAAGAAATGTTTAGTTAACTGATAACACATCAATATATTATAACCATTCGTCTCAGGTATGGTTGATTTTGAAACCGTTATACTTAGGAGGGTGATGTCAAATATTAGGCACTATCTTTCTATAATTCATCACAAGTTGGACTGTTATGAAGAGAATAGGTTTGTTGGTGCCCAGGTACCTGCAGAGAGATGACGGAGGAACGGACTATAGAGGACTATGAATAGATCTCTGAGGTGGACTGGAAAAATTGTTTTCAAGTATTTGATCAGACGTATGAAACTTTGTATAGATGCTGGTAGTTAGTTCTTTTAAGATTTGATAATAAAAACTTTAACCATAGAACTTTTTTTAGTTTCCCAAACTTTCTAAATAGTTAACATATAATAAATTAAAAAAATAAGTACTTACAAAAGGAATATCATGAAATAACATATATAGTATATTCAACATTTTAATACTAATAGAATGAAGTAGATGTCACTATTACAAATTAATTTTACTCAAAAGAAGATATACTAAAAACAAAGATTGTAACATTTATTTGATATAAAATTAAACTTTCATCTTATATTTCATGCCGCACTGGTGGTTCAAAATTATCATATCAATGAAATAAATAATTTTCCGTGAAATACTTTTATTTTATATTTCAGTTTATTTGAAGAAGAAGAATTGCACACATGTTTTTTTTTTGTATTACTTACAGTAACAAACACAATCGATCTAACAGTGCTTCATACTCTAACCATTATAAATGAAGAATTTTTCATTTTATATTTAATAGCACTGGCAATTATTTATGTTACAGTGACTGCCATGGGAGTTGATTTCAGCAAAAGCAGCCTTCCTTATAGCCAATTCGAGCAAGCGATAGAGCAATGCTTCAGCATTCTCGTAGAGAGGTTTCAAAAGTTTTGGCTACACAATGACTTTATCTACAGCTGGTCTACTTTAAAGAAGAAGGAGGATCAGTGTTTAAGAATATTACACAATATGTCTAATACGGTAAAGATGCATAATATCTCCTTAAGTAATTTATAGTATGATTACTAAAGTTGTGTAGGGTGGTAACGTAGGAGTAAAGCGTTTCCGTAATTTTCCTAGAACGCTTGCAAACTATGAATTCGTTAGTTAGTGCATGACAGCGAAAAAAGTTTGGATAACTGAGATAAAAAAATATTTCGATAAAATGTAGTGTAGTTGTGTAATTCCCCAACTGGAATAGCGCAGCATGCCTGCTTTAAAACTCTTTTAGAGATAAGGAAGCCAGTGGCCCACAGTGGAATTTATAAAGGCTGTAAAGCTACTGTTTCTTGTATATTAGTTGACAGTTGACACATGAATCTAATCTAAGAAATAAGCAGTAACAATTTACTTATTTATTTTTAAAGGATACTCTACAATGGTTATAGTGTTATCTATTTTTTGTTTTCTATCTTTGCATTACATATTATGCTTATTGAACGACAAATTATTAATAAAAAAAAAATGAATGTAGAAGAAAAAGTACATATGTTGTTAAATATACGTACATTAATAAAATAAATAAATAAATAAAATTACATAACAGAGGTGGATCAACCGATCAGAATATATTTTTTTAATGATTATTAATGAAGGTGTCGTCAAAGATTCATATCTCGTCATTTTCAAAGATGTCGGGATATATTTTATCAGCTGATTTTGTATAACTGGAAACTGGAGAGTTTTTTTTTCAATATTACTTTTATGGTTAGGTTTTTAAGTATTCCTATGACGAGGTAGCCGTGTGGATGGGTATCTTTATGGAATATGTACTAAGCAGATTTGGGCAGTCGATAGAATTAATAAATAGTTCATATAAGAAAGTCAGTCATTATCTCTTATCTAAGGAATGCATTTAAAAAATCTTAATTCTTTGTTTAATGATTTCTTATATTTACGCGAACACTACACATTGAATAAAACTACTTTTTTACGGATTTTATCGCGTTTAATTAACTTATTTTATATTCCCGACGTTGCGGTTGCTTTCCAGCAACCATGGTCACGGGGGACTGAGGTGACTGACGTCCCGATGTCAGAGTTAACCAGGAGTACCTACAGCTTTATAATTATTAATTTTGGTCCGATCTACGCAGAATGAACTTACTGTGTCTTGAAGTATTTGAAGTGTATGTGTTAAAAGACCACATAGCTGACGTGAAGCACCAACGTTCCAAGAAGTCTGCAGTTTGTTATCATATCCTAGAATTCCCATTACATTACATTAGAATTGATAAACCACAACTTCTCGCGAAAGAACTTCGATTCCTGCCAAGGATGATACATGAGGCTATTGAAATTAAAAAACATCCTAATTTCAATAGAGAGGGAGGCTGGGTACTACCACCTGCTTGGGATCCTATTGTTTAGGCCAAATCTTAGCATTTAAAACTTGCATTGAGTTTATCCGATGGTGCCAGTCACCGCCTCGCGCGCAACGAGTATTTGACGCCGTGGGTCGGCAGTCAGTGTCTTGCCCGCCGCAGCCGTGTCGACGAGTATGTAAATTACGCTCGAGTGTTAGGCCGCGTGGCGACCGCCTCTTATTGCGTTGTCTTTTTCGTGCGTTTACGTGACAACGAGGCTCCTTTTGAGTTAGAGTGATTAACTTAACTTCGATTGCCATTCATTTGCTTCGACGAGTTGCTTGTGTGGCATTTTAATATCTTACGAACACATTTTTCCTTTGTCAGTAGAACGCTAAAAATTTGTGACCCGAGAGGAGATCGCGTTCGTCTACGATTATATTATGTGTTATTGAAATGTTATTGTGTATATTAATTTTGTGCTAAGTGACGTTGGACTTCAGTTTACATAAAGGTGAACGTCCTACCAAGTGATCGCACATCTTTGGGGGCAGTGCAGCGCATGTGGGTCTGCTGTCCGATTGCATCGGTGACGTTAGGTTACATTTACACACTTTCTCACACCACTTACACTACCATTACTTAACCCCTGACTGTACCGTGTGGTCGACCCTACCTCCGGAACTCGGTAAGTTTGTGTTTGCTTCTCAGCCATTACATAATAATTATCCATAGGCCATTTGGGCACGAAACCTCTGGTTGCTCGTCGAGTGGTCTACTCATGGGCCCTAGTCCAGTCGACTTCTATTGGGGCAACTGAGGGCCGTAACACCTATAATTCATAAAATTAAAACTAAACGCAAGCATACCACTGCAAGACTGCAAGATACAGTAAGTTCATTCTGCGTAGATCGGACAAAAGTTAATAATTAAAAAGCTGAAGGTACTCCGGGTTAACTCTGACATCGGAATGTCAGTCACCTCAGTCCCCCGTGATCATTGTTGCTGGAAAGCAACCGAAACTTTGGGAATATAAAATAAGTTAATTAAACGCGATAAAATCCGTAAAAAAAACTAGTTTAATTCAATTAATTCTTTGTTTATAGGATGTTCTGTGCGAAAACTGACTACGATATGCTAAGTGCCTGGATAACAGTTTCTGTAAACTTTTTCTCTCTATATGCGAGTATTAACAAGGTGACCGTACTGCACTACATATTCTATTTTACTTCTTACAAAGCTACTGTTCACTGTTATAATTGTATCGCTTTTCTTGAACTCCATGCCACTTATTATGAAAAAACCGAGTGCTTTGTTGCCTATAATTAAGTATTGTTTATATGAGGTACGATGTTAAGACGATTATCTAGCGCGACTCTTAAATCTCGAATCTCTCCTACCTCAGTCAACTTTTTGTTCTAGATGCTATGTACACCGATTGTTGTTTTCTTATTGAGTAAAATGTATATACTAACATTTGAATAGTTGTAATAAGTGACATCTTATTTTACTCGCACCAAGGACCTAGGCTGTTATGGTCCTCCTGCAATAGTTCTGCATATTTTTTGGTACTAATAGGTCGAGATAATTTTAAATTATCAGCATATAGAAGGGCTGTCGAGTTCTTCAACGATGATGTAATATCATGTATGAAAAGAGTAAAAAACAATTACCCTAGATGAGATACTTGTAGTACTCCTGATACGGCTATAGGTATGAATTACTCCAAAAAAAATAGGTTTGGTTTACTCAAATGACATCAGTTTACGCAATAAGGTTCTTAAGTCTAAACTAGCCTGTGTAATTGCTGTCTAATTGCAAGCCATTATCAACTGCTTCTATAAGATTTGAAATATGATCTATAAAATTAGTATTTGTAGATCTTTTTGTTATGAAACCATGTTAATTGAATTTAATAACCGGCTTAAATGATTGTAACAAGATTGTAATTTGATTGTAGCATGATTGTACAGATAAGAATATACTATTGTCTCGAAGGTCTTCGACAGAGTAAATAGGATTAAAAATGGACGATAATTAGAGACTAATTCCTTTTTTTTATAGGATAGGGTGACAAACGAGCACACAGTCCACCTGATGGTAAGTGGTGCTGTGGCCCATAGACATCTACACCTATCCTCGTTTGCAAATCAAAATGCAGATGCGTTGTCACCCGTGTCATACTTATCCGACACTATTCCGAAGATATCCCGGACGTCAGTCTGAGCTAGATTAAAATGGCTCTCCAGCACATTAAAAACGAAAAGTCCCCGTACGACGATGGAATTACAGCGGAGCTTTTGAAAGCGGGCGGAAAACCGGTACTTGAAGTCCTTCAGAAGCTCTTTAATTATGTGCTCCATGGTGGCACTACTCTGGAGGCGTGGAGTAGAAGTGCGGTGGTTTTGTTCTTCAAAAATGGCGACAACGCTCTCTTAAAGACCTACAGACCGATTTCCCTTCTGAGCCGCGTCTACGTGCTGTTTACGAGAGTTATTACGAATCGTCTCGCACGCAGACTTGACGACTTCCAGCCTCCCGAACAAGACGGTTTCCGAAATGGCTTTAGTACCATAGACTACATACACACCCTTCGGCAAATTATACAGAAGATAGAGGAGTATAATCTGCCACTTTGCCTTGCATATGTGGACTATGAGAAAGAATTGATTGATTCCGTCGAAATTTGGGCGGTGCTGCAGTCCTTTCAGCGGTGCCAAGTTGCCTGTCGGTATATCGAAGTGCTGAAGTATTTGTACAGTAGAGCCACGATGGCTACTCAAGTACAGAATCAGAGTACGAAACCTATCCAACTGCAGACAATTGTAAGACAGGGTGACATTATATCCCCGAAACTCTTCACCGCTGCATTGGAAGACGTTTTCAAGCTGTTGGACTGTAAAGGTTGCGGTATTAACATCAATGGCGAGTACATCACTCACCTTCGATTTGCTGACGATATAGTTCTTATGGCAGAATTGCTGGAGAACCTAAGACTAATGACATATAAACATGGACAAAACAAAAATCATGTTTAACGTCCATGTCAGACCTATGCCGGTAGTTGTGGGGAGCACTAAGCTCGAAGTAGTAGACGAGTATGTTTACCTGGGACAAATAGTCCGACTAGGTAACTCCAACTTCGACCGAGAGGTCAATCGAAGGATTCAACTCGGTTGGGCAGCGTTCGGGAAACTACGACACATTTTCTCGTTAGACATACCTAAAAACCTTAAAACGAATTGTACAACAAGTGCGTGTGGCCATTTATGACTTATGAATCTGAGATGTGGTCCTTCACTGCTGGCCGTATGAGGAAGCTCGAGGTCGCTCAGCGAGCTAAGGTGAAGGCTATGTTCGGGGTTTCTCTGCGTGATAAACTTAGAAATGAGGATATCCGCAGTAGAACCAGAGTAACCGACATAGCCCAACGGATTATTAAGCTGAAGTGACAGTGGACCGGCCATATAGCTCGAAGAACCGACAACCGATGGGGAAGAAAGGTTCTCGAGTGGCAGCCTCGTACCGGTAACCGAAGTGTAGGGCGACCCCCAACTGGATGGAGTGACGACCTGGTAAGACATGCAGGAAGTCGTTGGATGCAGGTGGCTCAGGACCGTGCTTTGTGGCATTCCTTGGGGGAAGCCTATGTTCAGCAGTGGACTTATGAAAGGCTGTAATGATGATGTCACCCGTGAGAACTAAGATGGAATGCCTCTTTTCCAGTGAAAAGGATTTCCGGTTCTCTACACTCGCCATACGAAACACTGGTACTCTACACTGGTACTATTTTACGCTGGTATTCTGTGAGAGCGTGGTCCTTCCCCGGTCGAGCCGACCCATTCGTGCTACAACTATACTACTAATGTAGATGCAGCAAGGCTCTACCACGTATATCTTTATTGCCAGCTTTAAAAAATAGGAACAATCCTTGTTTCTTTTTATTTTGAGGGAAATGTGCCAGCGTTAAAGAAGTGTTGAAAATGGTAAAAAGAGGTTGAGCTAAGGAACGTGTACATTTATTGAAAAATAGTCATTTGATGTAGTCCGGTCCCTTACCTTTAGTACAGTTAAGTATTTTTACTTTGTTTTTTTTTGATATTATTTCGTTGTCGCATAAAATAAGATCAAAAATTTTACTTTTTGAGATAGAGGGTTAAACGGTTTTAAATTTTTAAGAATCAAAAAGTCGATAAAGCTTGAATTTAAGTTGTATGTTTCAAACGTAGATGAGTATAAAAAAGAGACCTCGTCCAATAATGTTTACGATATTCCGCTCTGATTAAAATCGGCGCATACAACCGTTTGCAGGCAAAGGTTTTCAAAGATTTTGTTAGTGTTAACAAGAAAACTATCCAGTAGTTTTTGTATTATTGGTGGAGGTAGGTATACCGCTTACAATTTTAACTCCTCGGTGCATATTTTGTCTCAAGAAATATTTATGGTTATCCAAATATCTTCGCATCCAATTTCAAAGTTATGCTCATGCTTAGATTTATGTATATTTTCTTGAAACAGCTCTATATCTTTTTGTTATTTGCAAGACTAGAATTTTTACGGTTACGCCTATAAATATGAAATTAGTCACTCTATATAGCTCATTGTCAGCAATGCTGAAGTTTAACTAGGTATTCGTGAACTATTAGGTAAGTATTAGTTGATGCACTTCCGTTATTTTAGATCTAATACCCATTCAGATATATTAATACTCGTAGTAGCAACTCATGGGTATTGGTATATAACTTAAAGCAAGGATATATTAAAATATGTACATAACGGAAAAAAAGAAAGATTAAATACGGATAATTTCCAAATAATAATGAACAGAAAAACACAATTAGGTTAGGTTAGCCAGTACATCGGATTTGCGGATGAAATCGTATTCTGTGTCCGGAGTTTTGCATATGTACACCTGTTCACCCTTTTCTCAGACAAAATAATGCTTCTATATTAAAAAATGGTTTTTTAATCAAGGTAATCTTAAATAATTTAAGTAAGAAAGTTTTTCCTTCCTATCAGATATAATGGTTTGGCCACAAGCATTGACATTAAAGCATGTTACTTATATTCCGCAAATTATCTGACCAGGTAATGCAATTACGTAAGGCAGCGTACTTGAATAATAAGAAGAACGGATTAGAAGCGTCAAGTGGTATGTATCTTTATTTTTATTTTTTATTATTGATCCACCAACATTTGTATTTAATATAACATTTGTATCATTCCTTACATGCTATTTAAATACAATGAACCAATAAGAAGTAAACTGTACAAATAATTACAGGCAGATTCCACATGCTTTATTGTATAAAAAGTATTTTCGTTTTAATTTCACTACGTTTTTTTTATTATATTCTTGCATTTCCATTTAAATTGGAGCTAAATTCAAAATTTCAAGTTACCAGCTCATCGAGAAATTTGTTTAAAATCAATTGCTAAATTCCAACCGGAACGACAGACAAACAAGAAAGTGACTTAATAAAGACGTGGTAAATACTGGTTGAAAACGTTAAAATATTTTAGATTACGCATCCAAGGTGTATATAATATCTTAATGACTATCCACAAAGATAGATAAATTTACAGGATTTTATGACAGTGTGTTAACGCAAAAAAGTCATTCAAATACCATAGGCTTATAATCGCCATTATTATGTGCTTGGTTTATCCATTGCTGGATATTAGCATCAAGCGAGCCACGCTACTGACCTTGATCTTTACATTTAAAAGTTCAATTTCTGTCATCTGCCTTGTGTACATTACCGCTCCATACAACCAGGTGTCTACATATCTTTATCTTCAGTATGATTTCACTCTCTTTGTCGTTTGCATCGTTATCACTTCTAAGTCAGATGTGGCTAGCTCACTAAAACTTAAGTGTGCAATTCTTCTTCCTTCGTTCACTAAACTACTTTGTGTTTCTAGAGTAGTCATGCTGTTAGTCTGTAGGTTTGGCTACCATATATAAATACAAGTAGGACGTGCTGATCGAAGACTTTCGTCTCTAGAGCTAAAGTCATGGCAAAGCTTTTCAAGTGCTGCTCAGGCTAACTACATCCGTCGATCGGATCACATTTTAATATCAATACTATAGGAAAAAAAAATTCCCGCCATTTTTCAATTGTTTTTCTGTCCGCCAAAAAGGAGTGAATCTAGCGATAAATTCGATACATTCTAAAGTTTTATTACAAAAAAGGAAAAATTGCAAAAGTCGCGAAAAAAATTTGTGTCGATTACGAATCTAATGCAGTGTCAATAAGAGTAGCACAAAATTGGTTCAAGTATTTTTAGTCCGGATATTTTGATGATTTTGATGTGAAAGCTCGCTTTGGTCGCCCTCGCACGGATAAAGTCGATGCCATTTTTGAAAATGTGTAGCAAGATCGGCATATTAGTAGTTACGAAATAGACGAGAATCAAGCAAGAAATTGCGAAAAAACGGCCGGGATTAATCAAAGGAAAAGGAAATTGAAATCTTTTATCATGATAACGCCAAAACACACACATATTTGGCCACTCAGCAAAAATCGAGAGAGCTTGGTTCGGCAGTGTAAATGCATCCACCACATAGTCCTAACTTTGCACTCTCAGATTTTCACCTGTTTCAGTCTCTTCAGAATTCTTTAATTAAGTTTAATTAAGTTAGTTAGGTTAACATCAAAAGAGGACTGTCAAAACTACTTGTCGCACTTTTTTGATCAAATATCCCTAGATTTCTACAGCAACGGTATTATATCCCTACATACAAGATGGCAACAAGTTATCAAACGAAATGGCACATATATATATTGTAATTAAATGTAATTGAACTTTGAAAATATAAACTGTCTTGAATTTGTATACTAAATACGAAGAAACTTTTTCTCCGAACTTATACATATGTCTTATTGTATGGAAATTGACTATCTAATATATATATATCTGGATATGGTGCTATAGCTTCCTAGAAACCCATTCTGACACTGATATCGGAAGTCGCAAAGTCCCTGCGTGGGTCGATTGTAATATATCTAATACAATATGTGTTGATAATTTTTATTATTTGAGTTCTCTTCAAGTTTTTAAGGAGCTGTGTTGTAACAGTGTATTCTGCGTTGTAACTTCGACGATAGCTCACTCTGGTGGTATACAAACAGATTTCATTTTAAACCAATTAATGTTTATAAATATATATATATATATATATAGCCTGTACCGTGAATTTACTTGGAATACAAACTTCAATATAATTTCATTTAATAAATTTTTCTGCAATGAGAAACACTAAAAACACGTGTTGTTATATTTTTGAATTTTTAGGTACCAAATTTAAGGCATTCGTAGATCTTCTTTTGGAATTATCGATCGAAACGGGAGCTTTAAATGACTTGGAAATAAGAGAGGAAGTAGACACAATAATTGTCGCCGGACATGATACTACAGCGACCACACTTATGTTTACTCTAGTATTAATAGGGTCCTATCCAAAAGTACAAGAGCGAATATTTGAAGAGTGAGTATTTTTATATATATAATTTAAATGTATTCTAATTGTTTATAAAGGGATTATTTTTAACCGTTTAGTGGCGGTGTAAGAATATCTAACTAACATATCGTCCCTTGGGTATCGTAAGAGGCGACAGATAAACCTGAAACAGGAGTTGGACAGCAGCACCTTTCTGATAGCGATACAAAATAATAAAAAAACTGCAGTTGCCAACATGTTTGCCAAGCGTGGCCACTATAGCAAAATTCTTTATGAGGCAATCTATGGGGAGACCTACGTTTAGCAGGAGTTTTTGTAGGAATTAATGAATGAATGGATGGATAGCAAGAAAACTGTCTAACAAAAAGACTTTAGATGTTTTATTGAATAGACTGAAAGGGTGATCGATTTGAGTTAAATTAACCAGTTTTTAACGTCCGTGTTCATTACCCACCTTGTCGGGACATTTTACACAACACTTACCAGTATGAGGGTGCCGCTCTATTATTTATATTAATTAGGTTTTAATTTCGTAGGTTACATTATGTCTTCGGAGATGACGACAGGGACGTTACTAAACAAGATTTATCTCGATTAGAGTATTTAGAAGCTGTTTTGAAGGAATCCATGCGCATATATCCTATAGTTCCAGTCACAGCTAGATTACTTGATAAAAATGTAAAGCTAAGTAAGTAATATAAAAAACTTATCTATTATATAGTTTATCTTGCAGTCTCATTAATAAGCCCCTTAATTGAATGCCAGCCATTACTTAAGCATCTACTTTTAACTAATTGCCTATCGTTTTAATAGTATTACAATATCACATTTTAGTTTAAGCAATTTGAATGATCATATGCCAATCATTCGATGCAATAGTTATATTTGCTGCCACTGCAGCGATAAGGCATTTTACTAGATTCATCAACACCTGATATAAGATATTGGAAGTTCATTGAAACTTCCAGAATCGACGTTAAGCCACGTTTTGCGATTCTGTGGATACTAGGTTTGGATGATATTAACAGCCATTTTGTATTATACTCCCATGGATCACTAAACCAAGTGCCAATTGTTGATTATTTAAATGATTTACCTTGTCTTAATATTGATCCCTTTCATTTCCTCCAGTTACTTCGGGTGAGATTAAAAAGATAATCCATACTATTAAGTCAAAAGTTGTGGGTTGCGGATAACATCAGCCACCATATGATCATTTATATCCTTGACCAATGCAACTTTATCCAATCACTTCCAAACTATTTCCATTCTTCCTTTCCTAACTAAAGTAATTGAGACGTACCTGGTTACATAAGCAATTATCACGTTTGTTTATAAGAACAATTTATTAAACCATATTCAGTCTGGCTTTAGCCCCACTCACATCACTGTCTCCAGTCTTCTTAAGGTCACTGGTTGTATCAAGGTGGGTATCGAGGACATCAAGGCCACTGTGCTGGCTTTGCTTGACTTTTAAAACACAAATTTTAAAATTCAACAATACAAGTCACATCATTTTACTGTCTATCCTTTTCCATCGATCATTTTCTGGCTAGGATCTTGGCTAATATTGCCTCCACTTTGCGCTTACAAGCCCAAGTAATAAATGTTAGCCAAAAAATTACCGATACCCTGCGGGCTCTTTACCGTTTGAAAGCTTTCTTCCACCCAGGACCAAAGCATTAATTGTGCAATCCTTAATTCTTCCCATGATTGATTATGGTGATGTGAGTTAATTTAACCTGAATGCAGATTTTCTTGACAAATATGATCGTCTTCTTAATAATTGGATTCGATTTATCTTCAATAATAATAATAATAATGTTTACCTTATTTGTTCTCACAAGTTTAAATTGCCTTTTAATAATATTGTAGGTATAATAATTTTAATTTGTGAGAGCCTGGTGTAAGTACTAGGAAAGACCTATATGACTAATCACCAGACTCTCGTCCCTTAATGTAACATTTATCAACATACCTTTAACTAATGTAGTAGTAGTATACTAAACACTTCGTGCGACAATATGATTTATAATTGCAGTTTCTGTAATTAAAGTTACAATAAAAGAGAAAGAACAAAAAAAAACAAAAAAACAATTGTAAAAACAAAAAAACTACTACTAATTTACACGTGAGCGCTGTGAGTGTGTTTGTGTGTGTGTGTGTGTGTGTGTGTGTGTGTGTGTGTGTGTGTGTGTGTGTGTGTGTGTGTGTGTGTGTGTCAATCTTCGTAAGTATGACCTACTATGTGTCTACTTATCTTTCCCATCGTAAGTGGCTATCCATTCGTCAGCGACGAAATATACGCAAATTATCAACCCTATACTCCATTTTAAACTCTCTTACTTACCTCCTCGTACTTAACTCCCCACCTTCAGTACTTTTGCTCCAACCATGACAGAAACCTGCATTTTTTTTGCAACATTTTTTTAAATTTTTTAAATTTTTTTTTAAATAAATTCTTCTAATAACCTTATACTTAAGTGTCCCACTCACAGATCTTGCTTTCTGCATTCATGCTTCAATGTGCAAACTTCTATAATGCTTGAAACGCTCTTGAAATTAAAAGCGCAAACATTTGTTACGCATTTAGTAAGAAAGTTCGCGAATTTTATTTGAATAAACTGGCAGAATTATCTCAATAGTAGCTCATTTGTAATTATATAAATACTCGTATATATTTATCTCTCTAAATTTTACACACCTACATTATATTTCTATCGCTGCATAACCCAAAGGTGATGGTGATGACTTGATGATGATGGTGGTAGGTAATACCTCAGACATTAAGTCCGCCTACACATATTGTACGTGGTAGAGCCATGCTGCAGCTATATTAGTAGTATAGTTGTAGCATGAATGGGTCGGCTCGACCGGGGAAGGAGCACGCTCACAGAATACCAGCGTAAAATGGCAACTTGACACTACGGTGTTTCGTATGGTGAGTGTAGAGAACCGGAGACCCATTTTTCTAGAAAAGAGGCATTCCATTTTAGTACTCACGGGTGACGACACATCTACATCTGCATTGATTTTTTATTGAGGATAAATGTAGGTTGTCTATGGGTCACAGCAAACACTTACCATCAGGTGGACTGTGTGCTCGTTTGTCACCCTATCCTATAAAAAACATGATGTATGAAGTTAAATAAATAAATAAATACAATTTTGCAGATATCTATAGCTATTTGTAATAATTTTATACAACAAAAGCACCATTGGTAAAATGAATTGGTAAAATAAACGCCAAGAAACCATGACGTGCTCACATTGCCCTTTATTTATATTTTTGTTTATCATGTAATATGATTCGATATTTTTAAGTGTACAGGAAACTAAAAAGTTCTAATATTTTTTCAGAGAATTACACACTAACCGCTGGGCACGGCTGTTTTATATTCATGTATGGTATCCATCGTCATGCAATGTGGGGAGATGATGCTGAAGAGTTCAAACCAGAACGATGGCTAGATACCGCGACTTTACCTTTATGCCCTTCTGCTTTTGCACCTTTTAGCATAGGAAGGAGGATTTGTATTGGTATGTAAAATGTTCCGTTACTTCCTCTTCTTGGAAATATTGAAAATAAATAAAATAAATACTTTAAAGACGGTAGCTATTACCTTCTATAATAGTCTAGTGTAAATAATAATACTATCCGGAGTAAATTCCGATCACGACGCCTAATCTCAACGGAGCGTAGCCATCTACGCATAACAGGATTATGGTGTATTAGTGTGTGTGCGAGCACATGTGTGATCTATATTTCGTCACTCTCATATTCCGATGGGTCGGCCATCCGACACGACCGGAAAGATTACTGCGCAGTGCAAACGGCGTTACGTGCTTTCCAACGCACAAGGGTGAAACGCCGTCAACTTCTTAAACCCGGACTGCCACTGAAAATGTCTTGATAGAAAAACCTAATAACTGATTTTGGCTCGATCCGAAACCCGGGACTTTCTAAGTCTAGAAATAGAAATAGCATAGGTAGATATTGGCTACACCTCACATTAACGATATTCTCTTCTTATTATTTTCTCGGTTTGAGAAGTACGTTACTAACAGTCTCTTTTAAGTATTTGACATATCTACTTATATATGATATTTTGTAAATGATCATATTTTTCCAATCGAATTACTAAGGTGACATAGTAGACTAGTTTTTTGAACAGAATAGTATGACGCTGGTTATATACGACTGTAACTCTTAGTATCACCAAAATCAACTTTTAGAAAATCCCAAGTCTTTTTCCAATTTTCAAATAAATTACTGCGTTTCAATTCAAAAAGGCAAAATCTTTTTTTTTTTTTTATAAATTAATACTCGTATTAACTCTGGCATATAAGAACACAAGTCACCCGTTAGTTAGTGAATGAAGTGACGGTCAGATAATTCATCCTCAAAAATAATAAGTAAAAACCCGTACCGGAAATTTGAACAAAGAACGGAAGATTTTGCCAAATTTGCCACGCTTGGCAGGCAAGTCGGCCACCACAGTTTCCTATTATTTTGAATTGTTATCAAGAAAATGCTGCTGTCGGTCTCCTGCTTCAGTTTTCCGCTGTCGGCTCTGATGACACCTACGGGACAAAACTAATGGATATTCTTACACCGAGTATATGTATAAAGTAAGAATACATACTTACAAAATATAAATTATTGTATTTAATTTTGTATTATTATATACACTTTTTTTCTTACCCCTACTTCATTCTATCTTTGCATCACCCGAAAGGTGAGTGGTAGAGAATGCTCAGGCATTGAGTCCCCCTATATACCACGAAATAAAATGTGCGATTGTAAATTTTTTTCTCACCCCACAGGAAAAGCATTTGCTTTTATGTCGATGAAGACTACACTAGCCCACGTACTACGGCATTATCGCGTGAAAGGAGATCATACCAAAATGGAATTAAAGATTGATGTGATGCTGAAACCCGCTTATGGTCACCACATTTCTATAGAGAGAAGAACGAAATGAAACGAAATAGAAGTAAAAAATAATGAATACTTGAAAATGAATGTTAAATACATGAAAACTTTTTAACAAATAACAATAACAGTTTGCATAAATGAAAGATAATTTTTACGCTTAAGTTTGGTTATTTTCTTATGGACACCAGCGCCAGCCACCTTATGACATCCCCTCATCGGAAGAGGACTAGTCCTCCGCCTTCTCCTTATCTTTTTTTACTTGAGGGTAAGACGTACCAGAGACCGATACACAGGGACCATGGGGCCAGGAACATCATCAACTAGTCGAAGTACCAGTCTTCCTGACCCCAGCGGCGAATCTCGTCTATAGCTCCGCCACCAAACAAGGTTCGGCTTATAGATTACTATTATACAAAGTAGAATGGCTGCCAACTCTATTTTTTTTTTACAAGAATCCGTATCGCCGTGTGCACACTTACAAGCGGTTACGTCGTATTATCACTACTAGAAACTGAATTAGTTCATTAGTTATACAAATCTCAATAAATAAATGTTACCAACACATTTTAATATAACATAAAATTCAACTTAATTTAAAGGCATGATCATCATCATCATCATAACAGCCCTTCAAAAGTCCACTGCTGAAAATAGGCCTCCCTCAAGGAATGCCACAAAGCACGGTCCTGAGCCACCTGCATCCATCAACTTCCTGCATATCTTACCAGGTCGTCACTCCATCTAGTGCGGGGACGCCCTACACTTCGCCTGCCGGTACTAGGCTGCCACTCGAGAACCTTTCTTCCCCATCGGTTGTCGGTTCTTCGAGCTATATGACCGGCCCATTGCCACATCAGCTTACTAATCCGTATATATACCGTATACGGGTCACTCTGGTTCTACTGCGGATATCCTCGTTTCTAAGTTTATCACGCAGAGAAACTCCGAGCATAGCCCTCTCCATAGCTCCCTGAGCAACCTTGAGCTTCCTCATATAGCCAGCAGTGAAGAACTACGTCTCAGTTCCATATGTCATCACTGGCAACATGCACTGGATGTACAGTCTTGTTTTCAAGTTTTAAGGTATACCTGACGAGAAAATGTGCCGTAATTTAACCCGAACGCTGCCCAATCGAGTTGAATCCGTCGATTGACCTCTCGGTCGAAGTTGGACTTACCTAGTCAGACTATTTGTCCAAGGTAAACATACTCGTCAACAAATTCGAGCTTAGTGCTCCCAACAACTACCGGCATAGGTGTGACATGGACATTAAACATGATCTTTGTTTTGTCCATGTTCACCTTAAGACCTATCCGTTGGGAAACACTATTGAGGTCACTGAGCATAGTGCTTAGGTCCACCAGCGATTCTGCCATAAGAACTATTTCATCTGCAAATCGAAGGTGAGTGATGTAATCGCCATTGATGTTGATACCGTATCCTTTCCAGTCCAGAAGCTCGAAAACGTCTTCCAATGCAGCGGTGAAGAGTTTTGGGAATATAACGTCACCCTGTCTTACACCTCTCTGCAATTGGATAGGTTTCGTACTCTGGTTCTGTACTGGGATACCCATCGTAGCCCTACTGTACAAGCACTTCAACACTTCGATATACCGACTGTCAACTTGGCACCACTGAAAGGACTGCAGCATCGCCCAAATTTCGACGGAATCAAAGGCTTTCTCATAGTCCACATACGCCAGACATAGTGGCAAATTGTACTCCTCAGACTTATGTTCAATTTGCCGAAGGGTATGTATGTGGTCTATGGTGCTAAAGCCTTTTCGAAAACCGGCTTGTTCGGGAGGCTGGAAGTCGTCAAGCCTGCGCGCGAGACCATTCGTAATGACTCTCGAAAACAGCACGTAGACGCGGCTCGGAAGGGAAATCGGTCTGTAGTTCTAGTTCAAGAGAGCGTTGTCGGCTTTCTTGAAGAACAAGACCACCGCACTTCTGCTCCACGCCTGCGGTGTAATGCCACCATGGAGGACGGAATTAAAGAGCTTCTGAAGGATTTCAAGTACCGGTTTTCCACCCGCTTTCAAAAGCTTCGCTGTAATTCCATCCTCGCCTGGGGCCTTGCCGTTTTTAAGGTGCTAGAGAGCCATTCTAATTTCGCTCAGACTGACGTCCGGGATGATTGCCGTGTAGTGGCGGTCAAGAATATCCACTACCCCATATCCTCCCGTGGGTGTCGTAAAAGACGACAAAGGGAAACAGGCAGGAGATGGGCAGCAGCATCTTCTTGATAACAACAAACTAACAATTAAAAAAAAACTGCGGTTGCCAACCCGCTCGCCAAGCGTGGCAACTATGGCAAATACCCCCCTATGAATGACAGTAACAAAGAAACGGCCCCCAGTCCCCGGCGGCACCGCTATTCCTGGCTACGGTGGCGACCATGGTAACGGCGGGGCAGGGGGTGCTAAGAATCTCCGGTGGAAGTTCGGTTGCCACCTTAGACAACTCGACCTGGCAACGTACAACGCACGCACCCTGAGGACTGACGAGAAGATCGTGGAGCTGGAAGAAGAGATGGACAAGTTGCGCTGGCATATTATAGGATTATCCGAAGTCCGAAGAGAGGGGGAGGACACGGTAATCCTCGAATCCGGCAACTTGCTCTATCGCCGGGAGGGCGACCATCTGTCCCAAGGAGGTGTCGGATTTATCGTCCACAAGTCTCTCGTTAACAACGTTGTAAAGATCGGGAGTGTGTCGACGAGGGTTGCGTACCTTATACTCAGAATCACCAAACGGTATTCGCTGAAGGTCATACAGGTTTACGCACCAACCTAGGCACACCCCGATGAGGAGGTGGAGGAAATGTATGAGGATATCTCTAGAGCCATGCATTCCTCCAAAACCCATATACGGTGTTAATGGGAGACTTTAATGCAAAACTAGGCACAAGAGAGAACGGTGAGCTGAAAGTTGGGAAATTTGGAATAGGAAAACGGAACCTAAGGGGCCAGCAGCTGGCCGACTTCATGAAGAAAGAGGGACTCTTTATGATGAACTCTTTCTTCCAGAAGCGGCCCTACAGGAAGTGGACCTGGTCGAGCCCCGACGGTTCGACAAAAAATGAGATTGACTTCATTATGACGACCAGACGACAACTGTTCAGTGATGTTTCCGTGATCGCGAGGGTGAAAACTGGTAGCGATCACCGAATGGTTAGAGGCACACTGAACCTAAACTTTAAGTTGGAGAGGTCTCGTCTAATGAAGTCAACGCTCCGTCCCCCTCGTGCTCTAATCCAAAGTCCCGAAACCTTTCAGCTCGAGTTACAAAACCGTTTTCAGTGCCTAGAAGACTGCAATGAAGTGGACGATTTGAATGACAAGCTCGTGGAAACTGTCCATGCGGTCGGAGCTAAGTTCTGCAAGACCCGCCGCAGAAGAACACAAAAACTCTCCGACCACACTCTTAATCTCATGGCTGTTAGACGGGAGATGAAGGTACATTCTTCAACAGACTTGACAGCATACAGGCATCTGAACAGACAGATCTCCAAATGCATGCGGCGGGACTTACGCAACTTCAATACAGCTCGTATTGAAGAAGCGATCGAGCGGAACCAAGGCTCCAAAATCTTTGCCAGAGATCTGTATGCCAGAAAGAGCCAACTGTCAAAGCTGAAGACAGAATGTGGCAGATTCGTTTCCGGGACACCTGAGATTTTGAGTGAGATTGAGAGGTTCTATGGGCAGTTGTACACGTCATCGTTGGAGCCACACGCAAGTGTGAGTAACGATCCAAGAGCGAGTCTCATCCGACACTATTCCGAAGATATCCCGGACGTCAGTCTGAGCGAGATTAGAATGGCTCTCCAGCACCTTAAAAACGGTAAGGGTCCAGGCGAGGATGGAATTACAGCAGAGCTTCTGAAAGCGGGTGGAAAACCGGTACTTGAAGTCCTGCAGAGGCTCTTTAATTCCGTCCTCCATGGTGGCATTACACCGGAGGCGTGGAGCAGAAGTGCGGTGGTCTTGTTCTTCAAGAAAGATGACAACGCTCTCTTGAAGAACTACAGACCGATTTCCCTTCTGAGCCGCGTCTACGTGCTGTTTTCGAGAGTCATTACGAATCGTCTTGCGCGCAGACTTGACGACTTCCAGCCTCCCGAACAAGCCGGTTTCCGAAAGGGCGTTAGCACCATAGACCACATACATACCCTTCGGCAAATTGTACAGAAGTCCGAAGAGTACAATTTGCCACTATGTCTGGCATATGTGGACTATGAGAAAGCCTTTGATTCCGTCGAAATTTGGGCGGTGCTGCAGTCCCTTCAGCGGTGCCAAGTTGACTGTCGGTATATCGAAGTGTTGAAGTGCTTGTACAGTAGGGCTACGATGACTATCCGAGTACAGAACCAGAGACGAAACCTATCCAATTGCAGAGAGGTGTAAGAAAGGGTGACGTCATATCGCCGAAACTCTTCACCGCTGCATTGGAAGACGTTTTCAAGCTTCTGGACTGGAAAGGATACGGTATCAACATCAATGGCGAGTACATCACTCACCTTCGATTTGCCGACGATATAGTCCTTATGGCAGAATCGCTGGAGGACCTAAGTACTATGCTCAATGACCTCAATAGGGTTTCCCAACGGATAGGTCTTAAGATGAACATGGACAAAACTACGATCATGTTCAATGTCCATGTCACACCTATGCCGGTAGTTGTTGGGAACACTAAGCTCGAAGTTGTTGACGAGTATGTTTACCTGGGACAAATAGTCCGACTAGGTAAGTCCAACTTCGACCGAGAGGTCAGTCGACGGATTCAAATCGGTTGGGCAGCGTTCAGGAAGTTACGGCACATCTTCTCGTCAGGTATACCTCAAACCTTGAAAACGAGACTGTACACCCAGTGCGTGTTGCCAGTGATGACATACGGAACTGAGACGTGGTCCTTCACTGCTGGCCGGATGAGGAAGCTCAAGGTCGCTCAGCGAGCTATGGAGAGGGCTATGCTCGGAGTTTCTCTGCGTGATAAACTTAGGAATGAGGATATCCGCAGTAGAACCAGAGTAACCGACATAGCCCAACGCATTAGTAAGCTGAAGTGGCAATGGGCCGGCCATATAGCTCGAAGAACCGACAACCGATGGGGAAGAAAGGTTCTCGAGTGGCAGCCTCGTAGGCGAAGTGTAGGGCGTCCCCCCACGAGATGGAGTGACGACCTGGTAAGACATGCAAGAAGTCGATGGATGCAGGTGGCTCGGGACCGTGCTTTGTGGCATTCTTTGGGGGAGGCCTATGTTCAGCAGTGGACTTGTGGGGGGCTGTAATGATGATGATGATGATGATGATAACGTCCGGGATATCATCGGAATAATGTCGGATAAGACTCGCTCTTGGATCGTTACTCACACTTGCGTGTGCCTCCAACGATTATGTGTACAGGTGCCCATAGAACCTTTCAATCTCACTCAAAATCTCAAGTGTCCCGGAAATGACGCTGCCACACTCGGTCTTCAGCTTCGACAGTTGGCTCTTTCTGGCAGACAGATCTCTAGCAAAGACTTTGGAGCCCTGGTTCTGCTCGATCGCTTCTTTAATACGAGCAGTATTAAAGTTGCGTAAGTCCCGCCGCATGCATTTGGAAATCTGTCTGTTCAGTTGCCTGTATGCAGTCAAATCTACTGAAGACTGCATCTTCATATCCCGTCTAACAGCCATGAGATTAAGAGTGTGATCGGAGAGTTTTTGTGTTCTTCTTTTTTTTTTTTTTTTTTTTTTTAAATTTATTTAATGAAAAGAAAAACACAATATAATCGTAAAAACATCACAAAAACCCTTACGGGTTTGTCTGGATGTTGAGACACTTTTGAGCAATCTGTTGACATTAGTTTACACATATATTACTTTATAAGAACATCAAAAACACAATATCAGCAGTTATGGGTACATTGTTTACACAGAAGCGGACACTAAGGAACCGGTTATAGATTGCGGCTCGGCGCAGGCAGCCGGCCGGCTGTTGCTAGTTTAGTTTGTTATATACAGAATGTTGCAATTATCGATATGTTATTACATTAGGTTTGATTTGATTAAAATTAGACTACTTGTTATGAAAGTAAAGAATAAAAGTATTGTTTATATTTATGTTTACAATTTTTATCCGTTATTTCTAATTGGGTTTTAGTTGGTATGTCATTAATGAGAGTTGGTATTAAATACGCATTTGTTCGTTTTCCGTAATAGTTTCTGACTCTTGGTATTTCTAGTTTTGATTGAACTACTTTCCGTGTCGTTATTTTATGATTGACTTTTATTTGTAGTTCTTTGTTAGTAAATTGTTCAATTAATAGCCACATTTTTATTTTTATATGAACAGGTAAGATTTTACAATATTTAAATAAGGGCAATACATCGTCATCGGAGCAGATTGATTTTTTAATTTTATTAGGTGTTATAATTTTTAAAAACCGAAGTTGAAGGCTGTATATTTTGTCCAAATAAGTTTTAAATGTCTTACCATAGCTAGTGATCCCATATAAAATTATTGACTCTGCGAGTGCATTATATAAATTTAATAATATTTTAAATGGTACTTTGTATTTCAAGATAGCAAATTTAGCTAACATTGCTCTCAGTTTGTCACAAATTGTGTCAATATGATAACCCCAGTTAAGCCTGTCATCGACTACTAGTCCTAAGTATTTATGACGAGGAACCTGTTCTAACAACTCACATTTGCAACCGTTCCTATTTGTTTGCAAAACATGCAAGCACTGGTGACTATGCGCGATTACTTCGATTTTCTTATCAAAATTGAGTAGGTAGTTAGAGCGGACATGAATAATTTTAGTTTTACTAGCATTGAGTACTAGACCAACATCATGAGACCATTTACATAAGTTAGTGAAATCAATTTGTAAACAGTGTTCAGCATTAGCTAAATCTTTATCAGCTGCTACAAGACATGTATCGTCAGCGTATTGGTATATGGAACAGTGTTTTATTATGTTTTCCATATCATTAACGTACGCTAAATAATGCAAGGGTCCGAGAACAGAGCCTTGTGCTGTTCCAGTAGTTACCAGTATTTCGTCACTGAAGTCATTGCCAATCTTAACCCGGTATTTTCTACCGTTGAGATAATCTTGGCACCATTGTAATAATGGCCCGCGGACACCTGTATTGTCAAGTTTTTTTATAAGAATATCATGCCTAAGAGTATCAAATGCTTTACTAAAGTCGATGAATAGTAATATAACATGTTTTTTATCATTAAGGTGTTGATTTATTTCGTCCGTGAATTTAGACAGCAAAATAGTAGTTGATTTATTAGATTGAAAGCCATGTTGAGTATTTGACAATACATCGTGTTTAGTATAAAAATTGTGAATTTGTTGAGATACATATTTTTCAACTATCTTATCTATAACTGGCAGTATTGTTATTGGCCTATAGCTATCATAGTCACTATGCGATCCCTTTTTGTAAATTGGTCTTACGATACCGGTTTTCAATTCGGGTGGATATTTTCCTACTGATATGCTAGTGTTTATCAACTTAACTACAACATTAGCTATCTTATCACTTAACATCTTCACGTCAAAACATCGAATTCCATCATTACCAGCCGATTTATTTGCATTTAGACTTTTTATAATAGTTAATATATCGCGCTTGGTAGGTTTTCTAAATAACATAGATTTGTTTTCTGGAAATATATATTCCGATTCTGACATGAGCTTTTTGCTGCACCCAGGCAAAATATTCTTAACGTTTTCGCAGAATTCCTTACCAAAATTGTTAGCTATATTTTTTAATGATAAATTATTATTCTTAAATGCTTTGATTACAGCTTCATCTACTGACTTACAGACGCGACCAGTCAGTGTATTTAATATATCCCACATTTTCTTTTTATTAGTTTTATTATTGTTAATTATATCATTAAAGTATTTGTTTCTAGACTTTTCTATAATCTTTTGAGTTTTATTTCGCTGTTTATTAAATTCTAATCTAAGTATATGATTATTAGTATCTTTTTTCCACTGATTAAAAAGTAAATCTCTTTTTTGGCACATATTGTTAATTTTATTATTTATCCATAATTCTTTGTTTCTATTGCTATTCAAATGTATTTTTTTTGTATATTTAGATTGTTCGTAACATATTTCGAATTTGTTTTTTATATAATTATAAATTTTTATCGGACATTGCATCTTATCGACTACATTCCAATCTATTTCGTTAAGCTTTGGTTTTAATGTTTTATAATCAATTAGCTGTTTATTTTTTGCACCATTCTGTATAATGTTTTTAACTCCGCTTCCTATGCACGATAACACAATCATACGGTGGTCGGCCATAACAGTACCGAGCGCGGCCGAGTAAAGGTCTAGCGAGCGTGTTCTCGCAAAAATATGATCAATGCAACTCCGCGTAATAGTATCATTTCGTTTTTCGATTCTAGTATGATCTGATATTGCACTCGCTAGGCCACACTCGGCCATATAACTTATATAGTATTCACGTATGTTATTATGAGACTTCAAGTCGATATTTACATCACCCAATAAGTATAAATCTAAGCGTTTAAAAGAGTCCTTACACAACAGTTCTCTCAATTCCTTGATAAATAAGTGTTTGCTTTCTTTAGGTGGTCTATACAATGAACAAATAAGTGCCGTGTAATGAAGTGACGTAGATAATTTCCCTATTAAAGATTCACAATGGTTTAGTGATACATTATTTATAGTTTGGAACTTGTGGGTACTTTTTATATACATCACAATGCCACCACCTCTTCGCTGCTCACGAAGCTTACAGTACATTTCATAGCCATGAATATTAAACAATTGCATAAGATTACTGCTTATGGAAATTCCTACCTCTGTTAATATAATAATATCAATATCAATTTTAGATGAATGAATGAATTGTAAAACTAGACAAAAATTATTAACTATTGATCGTAAATTTATATGGACAATATTTAGTTTTTGAGTATTATGTGGTAACTGTTTACTAAAATCGTTTATGTTAGCACAGTCAAACAGCTCATGTATTTCCGGAGAAGAAACTGTTGCGTTGTGTCAAACTGCTATCGATCTTTTAGCATCGACATCTTATCAATATCACATGAGCTCCTTATGATAATCGGCTTATCATTATCGTTTTTGCGAGCCAAAATTCTACCACCCTGGAACCAAATATATTTATACGTCTCCTTCAAGATTTGTTTAGCTTGCCACAGAAGCGTTTTATTTGCTTTGGTTAGTGCGCGTCGAAGTATCACCCTTATTTTGGCTACATCGGGATTAGTAACATTGGGAATTATATCTTCCATAGCAATTGTTTCCCTTCGTGCAGCGCGGATCCACTGGTTGACCTGCTCCTCTTGTTGCAATACTAACTGGATTACACCTTCTTTGCCGTCCCTGCCTTTCAGTCTCTTCACCATAGACACTTGACGTTTCTCTATATTTAGCTTCGAGGCTAGTTTACTTGAAAGTTCTTCTAAGTTCTCGTTCTTACCTTCGGGAATTCCGGTTATTTCCAGTACATTATCCAGCAGTTTTTGATCCATATTTCTTATTTGTTGTTCCATTGCATTAACTTTTAATTCCAGGTGGGTATTTTGATTTGTCAAGTACATGTTTTTCTTTTCCAAGTCTTTAACTTTTTCCGTTAGGGTGTCTAGTGTAGCGTTTATAGTATTCATTTTAATACACCATGAGCTTAACGATTCGTTTACAGAAGCCAGTTCCTTCTTCACTGCTTTCTTTACCTCTGTTGAGATATCACTAAGCAGTTTACTCATCGCTGCCGAACCGCTTTTGCCCAGTTGGTTCTCATCAGTATCATCGTCATCATCCTCCGGAATTATAAAAGACTTACGATGGGGCGATTCTTTATGACAATCTTCGCATGTCCACTCCAGGTTTTCAGTATTGCGCAGCGCAGATAACTGCTTCGAAGATAAGCCTGTGCATAATTGATTGGCGTGTACTACTTTTCCACATTTGTTACACTCAAGCCCAGGTAACTTTTTTGTTATGGACTTATCACAATTGTCGCATTTAGGCATTTTTTAACTTTATACAGAATTGAAGGTAAATTGAAACTAACTATTACAAGTCCGTATACAGTTCGACTACGCTATGTGAGAGCTCGCGAGTGACTCGACTTCTGCGGCGGGTCTTGTAGAACTTAGCTCCGACCGCATGGACAGTTTCCACGAGCTTGTCATTCATATCGTCCACTTCATTGCAGTCTTCTAGGCACTGAAAACGGTTTTGTAACTCGAGCTGAAAGGTTTTGGAACTCTGGAACAGAGCACTAGGGGGACGGAGTGTTGACTTCATTAGACGTGACCTCTCCAACTTAACGTTTAGGTTCAGTGTGCCTCTCACCATTCGGTGATCGCTGCCGGTTTTCACCCTCGCGATCACTGAGACATCACTGAACAGTTGTCGTCTGGTCGTCATAATGAAGTCAATCTCATTTTTTGTTGAACCGTCGGGGCTCGACCAGGTCTATTTCCTGTGGGGCCGCTTCTGGAAGAAAGAGTTCATCATAAAGAGTCCCACTTTCTCCATGCAGTCGGCAGGCTGCTGGCCCCTTAGATTCCGTTATCCTATTCCTAATTTCCCTACTTTCAGCTCACCGTTCTCTCTTATGCCTAGTTTTGCATTGAAGTCTCCCATTAACACCGCATAGTGAGTTTTGGAGGAATGCATGGCTCTGGTGATATCCTTATACATTTCCTCCACCTTCTCATCGGGGTGTGCCGAGGTTGGTGCTTAAACCTGTATGACCTTCAGCGAATACCATTTGGTGATTCTGAGTATAAGATACGCAACCCTCGTCGACACACTCTCTATCTTTACAACGTTGTTAAAGAGAGACTTGTGGACGATAAATCCGACACCTCCTTGGGACAGATGGTCGCCCTCCCGGTGATAGAGCAAGTTGCCGGATTCGAGGATTCCCGTGTCCTCCCCCTCTCTTCGAACTTCGGGTAACCCTATAATATGCCAGCGTAACTTGTCTATCTCTTCTTCCAGCTCCACGATCTTTTCGTCAGTCCTCAGGGTGCGTGCGTTGTATGTTGCTAGGTCGAGTTGTCGTAGGTAGCAACCGAACCTTAGATTTAGAACCGGAGATTCTTAGCACCCATGCCCCGCCGTTACCATGGTCGCCACCGTAGCCAGGAATAGCGGGGCCGCCAGGGACTGGGGGCCGTCTCTTTGTTACTCTCATAATTGGGGCGGTTTTGCCATAGTTGCCACGCTTGACAAGCGTGTTGGCAACCCCGGTTTTTTTATTGTAATTTCGTTGTTATCAGGAAGATGCTGCTGTCCATCTCCTGCCTGTTTACCTTTGTCACCTTTTACGACACCCACGGGAAGATATGAGGTAGTGGATATTCTTAACCGCCACTACATGGCATATAATTTAAAGGCAATAACAAAGGATTCACAGCGAATCTTTACAGACCGTCCCTTACTGAAAAAAAAAGTATACAATGGTGGTAACAATTTTTTTTTATTCTAAATAAAATATCGATATTCGCTATATGGCCGGCCCATTGCAGCTTCAGCTTACTAATCCGTTGGGCTATATCTGTTACTCTGGTTCTACTGCGGATATTTTTGTCTCTAAGTCTATCTCGCAGAGAAACTCCGAGCATAGCCCTGTTCACAGATCTCTGAACGACCTTGAGCTTCTTCATATACATACTATACATGAACACTACATGAATGAAAATAACCCCTGGGAATAAGGTGATCGCCACCATGCTGGTTCTATGAAAATTCATTTAAAATTGTATAAACAAAATTATTGTTAAGTGAAATTATGTTTAAAAAAAAAAGTCCCGCTGGGTTTCTTGCTGGTTCTTCCCAGGACAGAGGTATTTTCCGAACCAGTGGTAAATAAAATAATGACTTTCAATAAGTATTATGTAATAATCCATATTGAATAAAAAATCATTCTATTCTATTCTATTCTATTCATATAGCCAGAAGTGAAGAAACACTTCTCAAACTCATAAGTCGGCAATGGCAATGCGCACTGGTTGTACAATCTCGTTTAAAGTTTTAAGGTATACCTGACGAGAAAATGTGTCGTAATCTCCCGAACGCTGACTAGCAGAGTTGAATCTGTCAAGGTTGGACTTATAGTTGTATATGCCTTGTCGATCATATAATGGATTTCTGGAAAGTAACGCCTGATTCTACTAATTACCTAGTCGAACTATTTGTCCCAGGTAAACGTACTCGTTAACAACTTCAAACTTAGTGCTCCCAACAACTACCGGTATAGGTGTGACATGGAGGTTATACATGATTTTTGTTTTGTCCATGTTCATCTTAAGACCTATCCGTTGGGAGGCACTATTGAGTTAATTGAGCATATGCTCAGGTTTTCCAGCGGTTCTGCTATAAGGACTATATCGTCAGCAAATCGAAGGTGAGTGATGTGCTTGCCATTGTTGTTAATTCCTTTCCAGTCAGTTAGCTTGAAAACGCCTTCCAATGGAGTGGTGAAGAGTTACGGGGATATAACTTCACCATGTCTTACACCTCTCTCCAGTTGAATAGGTTTCATACTCTGATTCTGTACTCGGCTATTCATCGTAGCTCTACTGTACAAACACTTCAGCACTTTGATATATTGACAGTCAACTTGGCACAGCTGAACACAGTTTGCGTATGTGAAGCAAGACAAAATGGCAGATGATACTCTTCGGTCTTCTGTACAATTTGCCGAAGCCTTTTAGGAAACCGGCTTGTTCGCGAGGCTGGAATTCCTCGAGTCTGGTTGCAGGACGATTGATAATGACTCTCGAAAACTGCACGTAGACGCGGCTCAGAAGGGAAATCGGTATGTAGTTCTCCAAGAAAATGTTGTCGCCTTTCTTGAAGAACAAGACCACCGCACTTCTGCTCTACATCTCCGGAGTAATGCCACCATGAATAACGGAATTAAAGTACTTCTGAAGAATTTCAAGTACTGCTTTTCCACCCGTTTTCAGAAGCTCGATTGTAATTCCACCCTTACCAAAGGCCATGCCGGTTTCAGGGTGATGGAAATCCACACTAAAACCACTCAGACTGATCTCCAGGATATCATTGGAATAGTGTTGGATAAGACTTGCACTTGTATCATTACTCACACTTCGTGTGGCTCCAACAGTGACGTGTACAGCTGCCTGTAGAGCTTCTCCATCTCACTTAAAATCTCAGCATCTCGCATTTCAACTTCAACAGTTGGCTCTTTCTGGCAGACAAATCTCTGGGAAAGGCTTTGGAGCATTGGTTTCGCTCGATCGTTTCTTCAATCAATCATATTGAAGTTTCGTAGGTCCCGCCGCATGCATTACGAGGTCTGTCTAATCAGTTACCTATATACTGTCATATCTGCCGATGACTGCAGCTATATTTTCCGTCTAACAGCCGTGAGATTTAGAGTGTGATCAGAGAATTATTGTGTACTTCTGCGACGGGTCTTGCAGAATTTAGCTTCGACCGCATGGCTTGTTTCCACGAGCTTGTCATTCATATCTTCCACTACATTGCAATCTTCTAGGCACTGAAAACGATTTTGTGATTCGAGCTGAAAATTTTCGGGGCTTTGGATTGGAGCACGAAGGGGGCGGAGCGTTGACCTCATTAGACGTGGTCTTTCCAACTTAACGTTTAGGTTAGGCACACTGGTCCATCTTACCATTCGATGATCGTTGCCAGTTTTCACCCTCGCGATTACTGAGATATCATTGAACAGTTGCCAAGACAGTCGTCATAATGAAGTCAATTTCATTTTTGATCGAACCGTCTGGCCTTGACCAGGTCCACTTTCTCTGGGGCCGCTTCTTACTTTATACTTACTTTTTTAGCTTTCTGTAAGTAAGAGTTCATAAAGAGTCCCATTTTGTCCATGAAGTCGGCTTGTTGTTGGCCTCTTGGTTTCTGTTAGTCTATTCAGAATTTCCCTACCTTCAGCTTACCGTTGTTTCTTGTGTCTAGTTTAGCGGCGAAGTCTCCTATGAACACCGTATAGTGGATTTTGGAGGAATGCTAGGCTCTAGAGATATTTTCATACATTTTCTCCAGCAGATGTTCAAAGGTTGTCGCGTGAACCTGTATGACCTTCAGTGAAAAGAGGTTGGTAATTATGAGTATAAAGTACGTAACCCTCGCCGACACACTCCCAATTTTTACAACCTTGTCAACGAGAAACTTCCGGACGATAAATCCGACACCTTCTTGGGATAGATGGTTGCCCTGCCGGTGATAGGAGAGTTATCGTCTCGTCCCCATCACTTAGGACCTCAGATAATCCTGTACTATCCAAGCGCAACTTGTCTATCTATTTTTCCAGCTCCAGGATCTTCTCGTAAGTTTTAGGGTGCATGTGTCATATGTTGCCAGTTCAAGTCGTCATAGGTGGTATCCGAACCTTTACCAAAGATTCTTAGCACCCCCTGCCCCGCCGTTACCATGGTCACCATCGTAGCCAAGAATCGCGGGGTCGGTGGGGACTGGGGGCCGTCTCTTTGTAACTTTCGCCATGGGGGTATATTGCCGTAGTTGTCACGCTTGGCGAGCGGGTTGGCAATCGTAGTATTTTTTATAGTTATTTTGCTGTAATCAGAAAGATGCTGCTGCTCATCTCCAGCCTCAGTGTCCCTCTGTCACCTATTACAACACCCACGGAAAGATACAGGGTACTGGATATTTTAACTGCTTACACGGCCTTAGTAGCAGCAGGAACAGATACAAGGTAGTACCAGTTACTCGACTCCACCGAGTCAGTAATTCATTCTTGGGGCGATGTATACGCTTTTACAACAAAATCCCAGAAAATGTACAAAATTTGACCTGTTCGAAGTTCAAAAACTTTATCAAACAAAGTTTATGTAAAAACGGTTATTATAATATTAAGGAATTTATGGATGACGATAATTTTTTTAATAGGATAGGGTGACAAACGAGCACATAGTCCACCTGATGGTAAACGGTTGCTGCGGCCCATAGACATCTACATTTATCCTCAATAAAGAATCAAAATGCAGATGCGTCG